AAGTGACGCTACATTTTTGAAAATTTATACAATACTACAAGGGGTTCGTTTTGAAAATTGACTGAATTTAATAAAATGGCGTAACTACAAATTTTGACTAGCGTGTTAAAAATGCCTCTATACTTTTTATTTCTGATGTAATTTATTAATTTTGGAGTCCTTAGAAAGAATCAGCACTAGGAATTTAAGCTATTAGATTACTTAAAATATTTATGTAAATTTTAAAATGTTTTATTACAGTAATTTTTGGAGAAAATTTTTTTTTGGCATATTTCAAGAACTTTTTATTGTGAAGTAGCACCTTTTATAAACTCAATTTTCTTTTCTCATAACGTTAAATACAATATCAACATAAAAAAATAATCAAGACGGTGTTTTTGTCTGTAAACAAAAAAGTTGTTTTTAGCCTAAGTAAATTAAGATTTTTACAGCACAAAAAAAAAATTTTTGACTTCAATTTTTTTTTCTTGCAATGTTATAGGTCAGGGGTGGCGAACCTTTATGCACCAACGTGCCATTTTTTCTAAAAAATTGCTTAATTTGGTCATAGACGTGCCGTCAAACAATTTTGACTTCGTGATTATTGGGAAAATAATAACACTAAATACTATTGACTCAAAACTCTTTATTTACTATGAAAAAGAATACATTTCGCAATGTCTCAGTTATACGCGTTATTCAACTTAAAGTAACATCAGTGAGACTTCTGTTGTTGCAGATTAGATGACAAATAACTTATATTAGGTTGTAAGATGTTATTTTAAGCAGGTCTGTAAAATTTTTTTTTGCTAGTTATTTATTGTTAGCTTGTTTTTTATGGTAATTAATTGTTTTTTGGCATTAATTGTATTTTTTTTGTTAATAATTGTTTATTTTTTTTATGTTTGTTTTTGTGAATTTTAATTTAATTGGTAAATTGCTTTACAGTGAATTTCGTGATCGGTGGCGTGCCCAAAATATTATGTGGTGTGCCATAAATGACACGCGTGCCATTGGTTCGCCATCCCTGTTATATGTGATAGTTTTAAATGTAAAAACAAAAATTTAAAATTGTTTTTTCGGCCAGCAAAAAAAAAAAGTAGTATTTAGCTAAAATAAATCAGTTTTTTTCTGTCCACTCTAGTAGGTTCTGCTCACCAACGATCGTAAATGGCCCTCATTCTTCATTGTTTTGTTCATTAATGGTCGATTAAATAAATCATTTTGTTTATAAAATATATAATTATTATAACTTTGTGTAAGTTTCTTTAGTTAATAGTAAAGAGAAGAAAGGATACCTGGATTTGATAAATAATCAGCAGTACTTGAGAAAAAATATTTAATACTCGAAAATATACCCTTTTAGCACTTCAAATTTCGACTATTCATTACATTTCTACCTGCTACAAAATGGTTCACAAATTATTTTTTACTTTAAAATTAATCGATATTATTTCACAAACAAACTATAGAAGTGTAATTTTTTTTATTCAATGTTTTGTAAATGTTTCGCACACCAATGTAATTTCAAGTTTTCTCAAGTCTTGCGCAACTAGACAATGCAACGTAATGCGGAAAAAAAAGAAGTCTGAAAAAATCACTTAAAATTTAAATATATTTCTAACAAATTAAAATTTAATGAACTAAGTTCAAAACATCGGGAAACTTTGTTATTTCGCGTATTTTTTTAAAAATTTGAAATTAAAACAGAAAAAAAAAATTTTTGGTTTTTTTTTACTCAAAAAATGCAATTTAACATTGTGTGAAAAGAATTGAGGTCAAGATATTTTGTTTTTTTGCCAAAAGAAAAACTTAATTTCGGCTAACAACCACTTATAACTTTGCTGACCAAAAACATCCTTTTTATTTTTTTTTACGCTAAAAATATGACATTTAACATAAGAATAAGTTCGAAAAACTTTTTTAGCCGTAAAGAAACCTTGAATTATTTTGGATGAAAACACTTTAATTTTTTTTTACTGACCAAAAACTAAAAATACCATCGCCACATTAAAAAAAAAACATTTAACATGAAAAATTAAGTTAAAAAACTTTTTTTGCTGTAAAGAAATCTTGATTTATTTTGGATAAAATAATTTTTTATTTTTTTAACCGACCAAAAGCAAAAAATACCCTCGTTATTCGTTGATTAAAATTGTCTTTTGCTGTAAACAAATCTTGAATTCTTTCGGCTTGAAACCACTTATTTTTTTTACTACCCAAAAACAAAAACATAATAAAAAATAAGATAAAATTTTGAGAAAAAATTGAGACAAAAAGAACTTTGTTTTTGTGCTATAAGTTATTTTTGCTAAAAATCGCTTTTTATTTTTTTACACATTGAAAAGTATATTAAACATCGTGAGGTCATAATAGTTACTTTCCAGCAAGAAAACCTTGAAATTTGAAAAAAAAAAAATTTTTAATGCAACTTTTTTTAAAAACTTTTATATTTACAGCTTTTTGACAGCTTAGCTACATAGTGTTGCCTTATTAAAAAAATAGGCTCATAAATTACAAATAGTCATTTTTAACGCACGAGCCACCTTCTGTAGTAATGCCAATTTCTTATTATTTGAAAAAATTTTCGAAATAGGCTCCTAATCATAGTTGTGGTCAGAAAAAAATTTTTCAGTCATTTTTCCTTAACTTCTCTTTTCCTTTTTAAAAAAAAAAAAAAAAAAAAAATTCATGAAAATCTGCGACACTGTCAAGACGTGTCTTAAATTTTGTAAATTGAGCCTAGAGTTGCATGGATTAGTGCAAAAATCGGGTACAATGAAATCACTCCCTTCGAATGTGTTAAAAATTTAGAAAAAATTTGCCTATCGATTGTGTTTTTAAATTTCACTTGGGTTTCAAGAGAAATTGGTGAATTTAGGCTTACTTTTGTTTTTACTAATTCCCTTCAAATTAAACTTTAACAAGATAGTAGTTATAATCATAATTATTAATAATAAAGTGAAATTACCAACCTAACTTAATTGTATTGTTATTTCGTTCAGCGCTTAGGTTATCAACGTTGACGTTAACGCACTCTGGCTGGCGGTGAAAACTATAATGGAAGGGCTAACTGTAGTTCGTCTCTAAGTCTTTTGCCATCTGCTGCTACAGAAACAAGAAATAGTGCATTTCATAGAGGGAAGCTTCTCTCTCCCCTTTTTTTTGCCGACCCAAGCCAAAACCCGGCTGAAATACAGACTCATCTCTACTTGAAATAGTTAAACTTCGTAACCTTAATCACCACTACTATTCCTGACAAATGGCGAGGGGAGATCGTTCCATACACAGACTGTAAATTATGTATTTAGTGAATTTAAGAAACTATTAAGGAATAAATAAGCATTGGATACACATAAGAAAGCACTTCTTTTGTGGTTTTATATCGAAGAATTATTTATACTTTTAACTTGACCCATAATACTTGTTATTAAAGCAAAATTGAACTAATGATCATAAAAAGAACACACTTTTAAACGATAAAAAAATATCAAGTACTAGTATATTACCATTTAACGAAACTTAGAACAGAGCCATGATCATCGCATGAGTTAAACAAATTGTATTCCAGAGTTTATTTTATATTTCCTCAAAGAAGCTGATTTATTCGTAGAATTATTTTTAAAAAAATCAAGAAATTAATTATTCGAAATTTTTCCTCACTTAACTTCTTTTATAAAAAACAAGTTTTGAGTATATTAAGTAAATTTAAAAAAAAAAAAAAAGCTTTTCTTCTTTTAAAAATTTAAAGGTATATTATGAACAAATAATTATTTTCGGATTTCCCATAGCAAAATTTAAAAATGGGAAGTATAATTTAAAATATATGCTTCACTCAGAATTCGTTGTTCTAAATAGCATAGGAGATAATTGCAGATAGACTTTATAATTATTCTTTTTATCATAAGATAATTTTGAATAACACAATTTGAAGCTAAACGTCGTCGCTGGTTTTTAATATAGCAAAAATAATACTAATTTAAATATTTAATTTTAACTGAAGTGATATTCAGGGTTGCCACTCTAACCTGAAAAAAAAAAATCCGTGTTTTCACTGTACATATTATATATTAAGAGGAAGCACACTATCACTGTGCTTTTGTGTGAGCTATACTGTTCTATCTCTACTAAATTTAATTACTGGAGAAACTTAAGGAACAACTGAAAATACTTTAAACAAATAATGTAATAGTAAATTAACTAGTTTAATAGAGCTGAAATATCATCCATTTTTTAGAAGCCGAAAATAAGAAACAAAATTCCCGGTTACTAAAGAAAAACCCAAATTCTGTTATTTTAGGTTATCTTAAAATTCCCTGTATTTTCCAGGTTCTCCCTGCAATGTGGCAACCCTGATATTGCATTTATTTTTATGCAACCAATTAACTTTACTTTTGAGTAAATCTCCGGAAAATCAGAATAAAAAACCATACCAATCTAAATAGCAGGTTATACTTTCAATAACTCTGGTGAAAATTATAGAAGTGTATCAAAATAAAATTATACAATTTTTAAGGGGACAAAAAAATTCCATTAATTTTTTTTTATTGTTCATTCTCTTTAAAGGAGATTAAAAAAAAATGTATGATGTTAAGTGAGCGCACATCCAAAGCAAGGAGTAGGCTGCTCAATGCAATAAATTTTCAAATCGCCACAATAAGTTCGATATTTGCTCTTAAGAGTGTTGTTGCACAAGTTCTGAAAAACCAATATCACCGAGAAATTAAGTAATAAAATAAAAGAGCAACGATAGTGTTTTTCTCCTTCATCAGTAACATATTACCATTAAAGATTAATAATAGACTTGATGTTATCGGCATCTTGTGGCACGCTAAGCACGCCCCCACACACTAAGTTAGGCTTTTTTGAGCCAAAGGGATATTCTCCCAAGACTATTACCTAAACTAGATCGAAACGGACAAAGATTTCTCAATTAAATTTTATTTTTGAATAAACACTTTACTTTCTTACAGCAAATTGGTTAAAGGAAAAATCAATTAACCAATAAGATACATTTTTAAAGACAAAGAATTATTTAAAAAAAAAAACAATATAGTTAATAATAAGGCACAATAGTTTTGATGACATAGTGACCTTTTTGTTGATTATATACAGTCACAAATTATACAAAATTTAAACAACTGTCGCAGAAAGTCTACAACTAGTTACTCAGGCAATCAACTTTGACAAATACTCATTGCGATTTTCAGGCGTATATTTTGCTAAGGATTCGAAAAATTCCAGGGTTTTGTTGTGGTTTACCTCTGCAATTTTCATTCCTTTTTGGATATTATCTCCTCTGAGATTTTCTGCATATTGTCTCTCATTGCAAAGCTCTTCATATGTTTTAGTTGTGTAGTAGCTCATTTCTTCCAAATGGGAGCGGTCAAGGATCAGCTCATAACTACCCTGGTTATTTTTACGAGCTGTTCTACCTTTAATTTGTATCTCCTCCTTTTCGTCTGAAGAGAAGAACGTCTGGATGACGTGCACACCGCCGTTTTCTTCAACACTTCTATCGTTCGACTTGTAGTCAATACCACGCCCCATAGTCTTTGTAGCTAGTGTCACAGTTCGTGCAACTCCAGCCTCGTTAATACGCCATTCTAAAGTTTTTGGATCTTCGTTTCCTGTAAGTGTATACAGACGATCGACGCTAGATTGATACTCCCTTTGGAATAACTCCATTTCTGTATCATTTTCGAAAAAAACCAATACAGCACGATTGAGGTGAACGTTTTTAGAAATACTTTCGAATATTTTTGTAAGCCAATTCGTTTTTGAGTTTAAAATAGATACATGTTCGAGGGGGTTAAAAACAAGCTTGAGCTCTCCAAAAAAGGATGGCATAGCAGACATGGTTTGAATACCGTAATTCTTCAAAGCGTTTTTTTCGGAGTCATTTAAATTCAATAGAGTTCCACTTACTCCCAGAATACTTTGGTATCGTAAAGGTAAGCTAGCATATGAGATAGAGCCTACTTTCACATGCAAAAATCCAAAATTTGAATAACTTTTATCATCATAGTTTTCCTTTTTAAGCCGAAAATAATTAAATGTATTCACATAAGATGCATACGTGTTTGTACAGTATTGGAAATATTTATCTTTTCGGCAAATAAATCCCTGCTGGTTGATTTTATACTCACCCTTACTATCAGCATCAATAAAAACATGTACCGCATCTCCAACCATTCTTTCCAATTCCTTTTCAAACAAAACAGAGGTAGTTTTCAAGAAATTTCTAAAATCTTCGTAATTTTCATCTTTTATTAACTCACTTATGAACACTCTGATCTGCTCCAAAATTCTTTTTTTTAAAAGAACTCCATTCTGTATAATTTCCCAGAGTTTCGGTTGGATTTTCAGTAGTGCTGGAATACCTACGTGTACAACAGGAGCGTAAACATTTCCGTAAAAATCCTCGGAGAAAAAAACATCCACCTCATCAATTAAAAGAACTACTCTTTCAGATTTCTGGATAGTACGAACAACCTGTGTTGGAAGTTTGTTTGAAACCAAATCAGTAATAATGGATCTTAAAGGTACCTCTACCCCATTAACTTTACGCGATAAAGTTTCATTAGCCATGAAGTCAAACGTATTGTAACTTATCTTGTTCTTTACACCGAATCTATTAAAAGTTTCGAAAAATGAATTGAACCTTGTTTTATCACGCTGTGCTAAATAAAAGCTATAACAAACGATACAAGCTTCATTATCTGTTAATGCAACTAAAGCTGAAATCAGAGCTAAAATGAGGGATTTTCCTTGACCCGTTAAGACTTGAGCAAAATGTTTAGGAACTCCAACAGAGTCTTTATCAACTCCCAAAAGCCTAAATATGCACAGAATTTGAACGCAGTGTGGCTCAATTTTGTTCTTTATACCAGACACATCCTCAGACTCTTGCATAGACCAAACTGCAGCTAAATTAGCCAACAAAACTGGTAATGAAGTCAGTTTAAAATCCGATGTCCACTGATGTAAAGGCAATTTTTTTACCTTTTTTAGTTGATTTTCCATGTCATTCAAAATTTCTGAAATTCCGAAGTTTTCCAAAGAAAGAAGCTTCTTAGAATATAAGACATAGCATTCTTTTAATATGGTTTTATCCATCATGGTTTCAAACCCACTTTTTTCAGCTTTACACACTTCTTGTTCGCAGAGATTTAAAGCAACCTGAATACCAATTTGATTTTGCTTTCTGACATAGACGTAGAAGTTTTCAACATTATCTAAACGTCTCTTGAAATCCGAGTAAGTATAGCTGTTCTGTACAACACAGTAAAAAGGTAGCGTGCAATCTCTCAAGAAATGCTCCAAGTCCGTATAATCAACTTGATCTTCAAAATGAGTAAAGGAGTGTCCAACAGCAAGGAGCAAATCACCTGCTGATTTTACACTATCTTCATCATTCCAGCCTTCTTTGTCCAGAGACATTCTTACAACATCCAACAAATTTTTTACTGCCTCAAGCAAAAAATGCTTTGGGATTGGTTTTTCATTCTTCATAAAAATTTCCACAAAATCTTCTGGTTCTATTACACGATAAGATGTAACATCGTTCTTTGTAATCTCTTCAACAGCTCCTTCTAACTCAGGGAAATAGGAGAATTTAGACATAAACCATTGAAAATTGATGCCTTGCAGATGCTTCAAAAACTCGTTGTATAACCTTAAAAATTTTATTCTTACAAGTACATCAATTTCTTTCAAAAATGCGTTTTGAACTATTTCCAATAACTTCTTCATGACCAATTCAACATCAGACTTAAATATGCTACATGGTATTGGAAGCTTTCCAACTATTGAATCTCTATGATCCCAATACTCATTATAAATCATTAATAGAGTAGCAAAATGATCAGATAGAGTATCTCTATCTTCAGAAATAAGTACACTGCTTATAATATCTATTTGTTTGTTTAAAATGCTATGATCAATGCTAGTTAAAACCGAATAAATTGTACTGATATAGGGAGAAATACGGGTAACGAACTGCATAATGTTATGAGTAGCTACACGACAAGTTTCATGTCGTTCTTCTCTAACATTTTGTATGAACTTTACAAACCCATTTAGTACTGGTAATGACAATTCTTTAAATCGGGCCGCGGAATTGTCACACAAAATAGGTTCGAGGCTAGAATCAACTATGTATAACCAAACAAGGCGTTCCTGAGACATGTTCTTAACTGTTTCCAAAAGAGATACATCTTCGTCTCCTTTTAACAACTTAAATGCATAATTGAAATTGTTTTGATAAAAATAAAGTCCTGGTTCAAAAAATTTAATAAGTTTACCCATTAAAAGATACTGTTGTTCGAGAGATATGTTTAAAGAATCGTTAGAAGACCACGTAATAGCTTCAACTGTAACGAGATCTCCATCATTAAAGGAAATTAATGTTTCGACTTGATTTGCGCTCTTGGAATATATGTCAGAGACTATATCATGCAAACATTTTAACAGGAAATAATAAATAGGGTGTGTAATGGATCCCAATTTCTTCAGAGATTTGATCTGATTTTCTGCCTCAATTCTTTTGAAAAATTTGTTCCACAAGTTTTTAACAAAATCTGCGAGGTGATTCTCATTTGGATACTGTTCATTCATGAATTCCAACAAATCAGCAAACAGTTTAATGTCTTTTTTGCTGATGAATAGAATTTTTCTATCAAGTAAATTGTTCACATTCACAACGAGGCAAACAAGTTTAAAACTTTTATTTGGGCATTCATTGATTAAATTCTTTCGGTGAATATCGATTCCCTCCTTACAAACATTTCTTATTCTTCCGAATAAATCAGGCATATCAGTCTTAACACAACATTTTGGGAAATGATGATTTCGAGTTGAAAGTTTAGATTCTACCTGTCTCAAACGTTCTGCATGATATTTGACTTCATTTGATATGCTTTCAATTTGGATTATTTCTTTCAATAATAATAAAGGTTGATCCAAGGACAAATTATGAGACCTTACTATATTCAGAAGCTGTAAAAAATCTTCTCTGCAACAAAAATCATCTGAAATATTCTTAGCTCTTTCTTTTAGAATTAACAGGAAACTGTCATAAGCTTCGTTTCTTTTAAATAATAACTCATCTTCATATATCTTAGTAATCGTAATCAGTTCCAACAGTTTCTTTTGATTACGATGGAACGAATAAGAGTAATTAAGTTCTTCTTCATCTGAGATCTCAATTCTCGCTACAAATGGGTCACAATTCTTTGAATCAACGCAATTTACAACCAAAAAACTTTCCACACCAAGAGCTCCAAAATATAACTGACAGCAAACATCGGAAAAATTAAGAACAATATTTCCAGAATAATGCAGTTTACCAAACTTCTTTTCTATCTTTACATACTGTTTTCTATCGTGACTAAATAATTCTTGACAACTGAAATCTTTAGATTCATTTTGGCTAGCGTGATTTTTCGTTTTATTAAAGATATTCCAACTAGAATTCCAGGAGCCATCACCAGATGTTCGAACTTGATCTGATTGGTATTTGAGGTTTTCGTCCTCACTTAATCTCTGCTGTATTGTTTTCGTATTTAAGACCTGACCTTTACTCCAACTATTAAAATCATTTTCATGAATATTCGCATTGATTGTTGTCGTTTCCGAAATTCGGGACAAATTTCCCCACTCATTCTGTCTGCTATCAAGTTCTTTATCAATATTAAAGAACTCGTTTGAAGGTATATTTTCATTGCTTGGTTGCCTTACAGCGTGCCTTTCAAACTGTTTTTTTAGCACATCGAACACAGATCTAACTTTCGGTAAAGATTGAAACACCTTGTTGGATTGGACAGTTAATTCTTCATGCTGATCTTCGTCATTTGATCTTTTTTCTTCCATTGCATTGAAGCTTTTCTAATATATTTAAGAGAGTCAACTGATTTTCTAATGATTCCCTAAAAAGAAAAAATAATATTAAGCAAATATAAGCAATTATTAAATGAAGCATTACACACATCCTTTATCACACAATTTAAACAGGTTAAAACAATAAAATGAAGAATGGAAAACCGTTTTAAGTAGAATTTAAAAAAAAGTAAATATTGGTATTATATGTTTCATAAGGAGCTGTTAGAAATTATAAACGATTTAATTACAGTCGTAAAAATTAGTTGTTAACTATAAGAAATATACCAAGTTTTATTTTATTTTATTTACTGTACACTTTAATAGATCGAAATTTACATGAACTATGTTATTAACAGATTGAAAACTTTATATGCTTAAGAAAATACAAAAATGGGCAGAAGTAACAAAACAAAAATAATTAAAAAAAAAAAAAAACGTTAAGTTGCCGATAAAAAAAAAGGCGAGAAAGAAAGATGAAAAACAGATCAAGGGGGGGGGGAAATAGTTGGCTGATAGGTAAATCAGGGTAAAATGCATTTCCACGTTTAATGGAAAACTGGGGAGCAGCTAATCTCGTTGACAAGGGAATCATCAGTATTCAAATTAATAAAGTAAGGTTCCAGGGTGTCAACATGCCAATAGCATTAATCATTTGAATTCTGATTCTCTTGTCAACGACAGTAGTTCCTCCCAACCTCCCCATAACGCGTGGAAATGCATTTTACTATGACTTGTCTCTCAGGCACTGTTTTTTTTTCTTCCTCTCTTGATCAGTTTTTCATCTTTTTTTTTTCTCTTGGCTTCGGTGGTATTTCTAGTTTTGTTCTTAACTTTTATTTTTACCTTTTTCGTTGGCAACTTTCAAGTTTTTTTCCCCAAAACTTTTTTGTTCCGCTACGTCTGTCAGTCAAGTCATTGAAATGGGTGAATATTTTTGATGCGATTGAACATATCGACGGTCATTCCATTTAAGTATTACTTTGAAGCATATAAAGCTTTCAATCAGGAAATATTTCACCGTTTCAGTTTCTTATCATTATTTAATTTAAGAACAATGTTTGTACAATCTTACACTTCTACATATTTAAATTTTCTCTGCTGACAGATGTGGCCATAAGAATCTCACACAATCACTACGACTCACATAATCAATATTACAGTTCCAATTTTTTTTCAAGTTAATACATACCCTATTATGTTAATACATTTTTCGTTAAAATAACTTTTTGACAATATCATTGATTTTCTAAAATAAATATACAAATGCAGATATTAAAGGACTTGTAATTCAATTCGGGAATTAAAATTAACAGTATGTGTCAATAAGAACTTTCGAAAAATAATTATACTCAATATGCTATTATCATCTTAGCTTCATTAAAAAATGCGCTATAATATTCCAATCTGCAGTCCACTGGAAAAGATTCCATAGCACAGGGGTTACCAATTTTTTTCGGCTATAAAACCCTAAATAATCAAACTTCCATCGTCGGAACCCCGATTTTATAAAAAAAAATTTATTAACGTCATTGCAAACGTTATAACCTATAAAAGACTATTTTTAAATATTAAATTGGAGGTATTAAGATTTTTAATTGTTTTACAATTAATAATCTTAAAAGTATGTTTATGTCTGCTAGTTGAATTCGTAGTCCTTCTGCTATATCAAGTATAGCTATGAATTTGGTTTTGGTACATATACAAAAGCTTGGCGCATGTACATATGTCCGGTTGAAAATGGTAATTAGGGAAACTCATTTCTTTACCTAAGAATTTAGATATTTTATTTTGATTTTAATACTCATGTAATGTCTATAAATGTTTCTTTTTATAATTTGACCAACATATTGTTATTAGAAATATTATATTTTCTTTTAAAAAATACCATTTCTATTTCATTGAAATAATTTCATAAAAGAAACCGAAAAATTTAATAAATTATGAATTATAGGATGGATTTTAATACAATAATTCTAACGTCCAAATGACTTTTTGATAGTTTTTCTTACTAATTTTAGTTTTTTTAAAATTGATACATTTAATACGTATGATTCGCAAGTATTGAATCACATATTTAAATGATCAATTTTGACGTGCCTCATTATTTGCGCCAATTAAATCGTTATATTGAATCGTTTTTTCGGCAGTTATTGCAGCAGATTTCTACATGGTTTTTTGAAAATTCTAATATTTTTAGCAAGGTATTATTACGACACATGAAACTGAAACACGCTTTTAAATTCTCTTTTTGATGCGTTCTGATAGTGCCAATTTAATCCTGATACGCTTTTCCACGTGATTTTTAAAATGTCGGAATTTTTACTACAATATTACTACAACACAGAATGTTCGAATTGTGCATTTAAATAAATCACTTTCTGACACGCTTTATTTCAGTTGATTTCATAGCAAATTTAAGTGATTTTTTTAATCATCTTTTCTTTGGCAGTTTTTGTTAAACTTTCCCACGCGATTTTGAAAATCCAGCATTTTAACTACAGTATTATTATAGCACGTGTGACTTTCTAATCACCTATTTAATAAATACTTTTTGATGCAATTTACTCGTGTCGATTTCACCACAAATACAAGATATTTTTCTATCATTTTTTTCGGCACTTAGCACACTGTGCGTACGAGATACCATGCCGCCACACTGTATTCAAACGATATTCGAAAAGTGGAGGCAACGCAAATTTTTAATTGCTCACTCTTAGTAATTTCGTCTCTTAATCTTTGTAACTTAAAAAGTGCTTTATTTAGATATAAAAAATTAAGCATTTATTATTTCTAAAAATTTACTACATATAAATATCTTAATGTTGAAGTAATTTAATTAATTTTGAATCTTGTTTTGCACTATAATGGTTTTGTTTTAAATTTAAATCATTTTAAACTATATTCATTTTCTTTCATTAAAATATTTAATTTACTACTAAGTTGACTTATCATCAAAAGGATTAAATGCATAGAACACCAATGTTTAAATAAAAATTAACATTACGAACAATTAAACTTTAAAGTAACAAAAAGGTATTTTTCTGCAAGTTCATTGCATGCATAGAAAAACAAAATGCACTGAAATTTAAGCAGACAGGTAAGATAGCACCGTTTTTCAGTAAATATATTTCTATATTTTTTTTTCAAACAAACTTTTTGTAGGCCTAATAAAGGGATAAATAAAAGTCAGGTAAATAATCTATTTATAGGTCTAATAATGGGCTATAGAAAAAAAATCAAGACATTACCAGAGAACATTTAAAACGAAAAAATGACACAAAATAAAAAGGTATTATTAAATGTACTTCAGTATAATAACGGAAATTTTTTAAAGAAAAATATAAAACAAAACAGCCTCTTGTTAATTTCAAAATTACTTGGTTTTGAACACAACGTTTAAGCAGTTTCCAAAATAATTTTCTGAATTGGACACGGAACAACTCAAAATAATTTGATAATTTTTATATATAGTCACTTTTCATGAAAAAAGAATTACCAGTATCAGGTTGCTCAGTGTTTCTCACACTTTTTTGACTGCAGTCCGGTAGGAGGTTTCAAAATCTTTCGTGATTCACCACCTTATGAAAAAAAAAAACTCATTTATTGGCAGAATTTTTTTTATTTCATACGAAAAATTTCAAAACAATTATACCAAGAAAAATATAAGTAATTAAAAAATTAACAGTTATATTCATTTATAACTTTAGTAAACTTTGATTCTACATATTTTGTCCTCAGTACGAAGGATGACATTGTTTGTTATCACCTTGGCCAAAGGATACGAGAGCTCTTTGTTCGCCAAGGTCATCACATATCAATTTAAAATTAGGAGGTAATGATGCTACTTTTTTTTCTCACATGAGGTTTGACATCCAATCTGTTTCGATACTTATTTTTTAAGTACACCCAGGCTGAGAACACAGGTTCACAAGCATAATCGGTGACAAAAGCTTGAAAATTCGTATCGCTTTTTCGCTTACTCTTGAATAGTCTTTTTAATAGCGCTACCAAAAATGGTTCAGTTTTAAAACACTTTTTGCTGATCGGTCAATTCGGCATGTGGACAACAAGTAAAGTGCAAGTGCGTGCGTGGAAAGACTTAGCAATGTTAGCAGCACAACGCGTTGGTGCTAAAGCTATATGAAAAGAGTATAAATACACACTCAATCACTATTGCTTGTGTCTAACTGATGCAAAATAAAAGAAGTTAAAAAATATTTTTGTACATTGAAATTTATTTAGCGACCCTGCAAAATTTTTCTACGACCAGGTCGGGATCCACACTTTAGAAGATAGCTAACATCCATTCCTGCCAATAACTAATAATCGAGTTCAAAACATTCTTAATTAAATAATTTTATAAAATAGATCTTCAATAACTTTAAAACTAAAATACAACTTAGCATTTTATTAAAAAAAGCAATTCAATGAATGCTCCCTTAATCTATTGTTTAAAAATTCCTTGATTATGGTATTGTTAACAGGGGTCAATCCCTTATAACATCAAAGGAAAAAGACAAATCAATAATTATTTAAAACTACATAAACTCTACTCAACAAATGTGTTACTGCAGCATCAGAAAATAATAAATAAATCCTTGAATACATTCCATCGTAGCAGACCTTCTCAAAACCTTGTTATGTCGAATTCTCTTTTCGAAATAAAAAAATTAATATTTTCGGAAAAATTGCAATGTAAGTTTATTGTAGTTAAATTTTTTTTCTATTTAATGCATAATTATTTTTTTCTTACTTTTAAAAATAAAATTTTAATTGTTGCATTTAGACTTATAGCCAACAATCATTACATACATATTTGTTAGTTGTTATCCTCATGTTTCCTTGATCTACTTTTTAGAGTAGCATTTTAGAATATATTTTCCTACTTTTCAAAACATATTTAGCTCTGAACTTATTTTGAAAATTTCTCTTCAACTTTGAAACATCGAGAGTAAACTGTATTTTAACCACCAATATATATGGATAAATTAAATTTACAAGTAATGCATTTTATAATGTCCGAAGTTTGAGCAAAAAAATTTTGACACTTTTTCGGTTTCAAAACTTTTAAAAAATTAGATAGAGGATTTTTTTTAAAGATTAACTTGAAAAATTTCCTTTTACGATTACTTGAATTTTATAATTATAGTAAATATTCTACAAGGCGAAAACATAACACATTTGAATCTACATTCTTACTTTAAAAATAGTTTTGTAGCAATACAGAATAAAAGTAAATCCAAGACTTAAAATTATTAAAAATGGAAATGTATCATTATTTACAACTGAAAAACAGGTTTAAATAAACAAATATTACAATATTAATTTCACTTATTATTTTTTTTTACTAAACGTTCAAAATGATGTAATAAATTGTAATGCCTTGTACCTTAAGGGAAGATTTAATTAATCTTAAAACCGCTTAATTTATGGCAATTAGAAAATTTTCCATTAAAATTATATTTACTAGAAGATTTCGGAAATATATTTGCACTAGTAAAATAAAATGTGGTTTTGAAGATAAATGCTTTAAAAGCAAATTCCAAATAATTATAAGATTTTTAGAATGTAATTTCGGATAGAGTTGTAATTTACTACAAACATAAAAGTAATGTATATTGTCAAATGAAAATCATTAACACAGCAATATATTAATTATAAATTTTAAAACTATGAAAAGAAAACGTAAATAATTCTATATTTTAATGGTTTGTATTTTTTTTTAATTTATGATTTCCTCTTAAAATTATCATTCGAATTAAATCATCGATTCTTTCGTAAAAAAATCAATTGATTTAAATTAATGAAACATGTAGCAAGGAGTAAAAATATTTTTGCCTGCAATAGAGTACTCAATTATTATATGATTACCACTTGGAAAAATTATTCTTTAGGAATTAAGTTGGCAGGTACATAATTCCCATTAAAATTTGACAACGCAAAATTGTTAATTGACTTTTTTCCCATAAAATGACTGAAGTTCCAAAAAATTAGAAACAATCTATAAAATACAATTAGCAGTTCCTGAGCTTATTTTATCAAATTTTGTGATTTTCTGAAGCATTATTAATTAAAATAAAAAGATGATGGGACTTAATTCCATATTTTTCTATTCCTAAAATCGATTACTTTTTTAAATCAGTACAAATAGCTAAAATCAGCAAAAAGTACGGACAAATATTTTTAATTAGGAATACTAGGTTATTTAGAACCTTATGAATCCTTGAGGCAACTGCACTCACTTTCGATGAAGGGGTTAAAGCTAGTCACAGGGGAGTTAAGCTCGTTTGAAAGTTAAGAAATGACCATTACGGTATAGCATTTAAGCAAACATATAATTCCGTTTTATTTCGTGATTATATAATACAAATATGCTTTCAAAACAATATAAAACCTTTTACAAGTTTAACACATTAGGCAGATATTTAATTTATGCTATCTTTTACGATATCTGTCATAGCATTATTAAAAATGGGTTGTAGTTTTGCAGTGTTGCTAAAATGCTATATAGACTCGGCAACATATTTCGATGAAAAGAACACGCGTTCTTTAAAAAGAAACAACTACACCCTTGTGCAAATTAATTGAAACAAACTTTTTTTTTCGTGTTTTTTAAAGAAGATGTTTTGGGGTTGTTTTGGTTACAATGGGGTTGGACCTTTGCAGCCTACTGACGGTATGATGCGTTCTGAGCAGTACATTACTATTCTGGGTAAAAAAGTTGTTCCAGAGTTGAAGAAACGATACCCTGATGGAACAGGGTTTTTTCAACAGGATTTAGCTCCATGCCATACGTCCAAAATTGTCAAGAAATTCATGTCTGAGAATCAAATTGAGACATTGGAATGGCCAGGGAACTCTCCGGATATCAACCCAATTGAGAATCTCTGGGCCATATGCAAGAATCGCCTATTAAATATGGACTGTACAACTATGGAGAAGCTAATCACGGCGTTAATTCATGTGTGGTACAAGGACA